CCCATACCACCCAATGTGCCGAATTTGTTAGACGAGTTCGCTGACGTGGGAGAGGCCCCAAGTGGAGTAGTTGAAAGGGAGACCAAGCACCAGATAGATATAGAACCCGATAGCAGGATTCCCAAGGGCCCCATCTATCGGATGTCCCCAAGGAGCTCGGTGAGCTGCGCAAACAGTTAGATGGACTAATAAAGAAAGGGTGGATTAAGTCAAGTTCCCCACTGTATGGTGCACCGGTTTTGTTTGTGCCAAAGAAAGAGGGCGATCTATGCATGCATATAGATTATAGGGGTCTCAATGCAATTACGATAAAAAATGTTGAGCCATTACCACAAATAGATGACCTTATGGATAGACACAAGACGACCTTTAATACTCGATATGGCCACTACGAGTTTGTGGTCATGTCGTTCGGGTTGACTAACACCCTTGCTACCTTCCAGCGTTGTATGAATGAACTCTTCCGTGACTGGCCATATAAATTCGTCGTTGTATATTTAGATGATAATTTTGATTTTCAGTAAGTCGTTAGAAGAGCACGAGAAGCACCTTCGTTTAGTGCTAAGCAAGTTGTACGACGTTGAGTTTAAGATAAATCCAAAGAAGTGTGAATGGGCTAAGCATCAGGTGTTGCATTTGGGTCATGCGCTCGATGGAGGTGGGATCAAACCGGAGGACGCTAAGATAGCAGCAATCAGAGACTGGCCGACGCCCCACGCATTGACAGAACTACGGTCGTTCCTTGGTCTAGCCAACTATTACCGCAAGCTCGTATGAAACTTTACTGTAATAGCTGCTCCATTGCGTCGGCTATTGAGGAAGGAAACAATCTGGAAATGGGATAAGGACGACACCTCAACCTTCAAGCGTCTAAAGAAGTGCTTGATGGAGTACCCGGTTCTCAAGATCGCTGATCCATCTTTGCCATTTATATTTACAACTCACGCCAGTCAATACGGGATTGGCGTTATACTTCAACAAAATGACGGTAAAATGGGTACATGTTTATGCCATCTAGACTGCCTAGTGAGAAGGTTGCGGTTTCCACGTACGAGAGAGAGAGCTGTTTGCTCTTAGAGTAGCCTTGAATCATTCGCGACATTAACTCCGAGGACAGCATTTCAAAATATATTTGGACCATTAGCCATTAAAGGGGAACTAAAATGTTGTCTCTAATGCGCTAAGCAGACAAGCTGATTTCTTCAGTGCCATAGTGACATATTTGGATGCAGGTGCCGAATTACAAGGAAAGATTAGAACCCCTTACGCTAGTGATCCTGTCTACAGTCAGTTGATTCACAAGGTACAGACGACACTGCACGAAGTTCCAGATTATAGGATGACCCAGGGACTGTTGTTTGAAAAAGACGGACTTGCACGACAGATTATGCATACCTAACAGCGAGGAGATTCGCAGTCTGATCTAGGGGGAATGCCACGATACTGAGGGACACTTCGGCTGGAGGAAGATGTAGCTTACCTCTTGCATTCCTACACGTGGATTGGAATGAAGCATGATTGCATCGCTTATGTGCAAGGCTGCAAGGTGTGTCAGAGGAACAAGAGTTCCACGCAGCCTCCCTTTGGGTTACTAAGACCGCTGCCTATACCGTCAGGTCTCGGAGACTCCGTGTCTTAGATTTCATGGACACTAAAGTTAGGAGTAGAAATGGAATGAGCCAAGTTACGGTCATAGTGGACAGGTTTAGCAAGTTTGCTGTTTTTGTGCCACTCCTTGCTGAAGCTAGGACAGACTTAGTAATTCAGGAGTTCTTCAATAATTGTGAGTGACAGGGATACACGATTTACGGGCGAGCACTGGCAGCAGCTCATGAGTGTCTACGGATCCAAACTGACTATGTCTTCAGGCAAACATCCTGAGACAAACGGACAGACCGAACAAATGAACAAAGTGTTGCAGCAGGTGCTGCACATGTATATACGACCCGATCAGATTGACTGGGATGAGCATCTTCCTAAGGTAGCTAGTGCTTACAACAACTCTGTACATCTAGCTACAGCAAGGACGGCCACTGAACTGCGTTTGGGTTGGCGCCCACGCAGGCCCGTTGACTGTCTGAACCCTGATCAGGTGCAAAGGCTTTCTCCAGGGACTAGGGAACTCGCTGTGCAGTACAAGAAGGATTTAGAGAAAGTAAGTGGAAATATAAGGAAGGCACAGCATCAGATGATTGAACAGGCAAATAAGCACCACAGACCTTCACAGTTTGCTGTAGGGGATTTGGTCTGGGTGAAATCCAAGGAGTTTCTCCCGGAGGAGAACATCTCGCAGAAGCTATTGCCTGCATGTAGGGGACCGTGGCAGATCCTTGACGTGATTGGTGATGTGGATGGTCCTTCCTATGCCGTTGAGATTCCCCCACATTTGCACATGTACCCGCTGTTTAATGCCTCTAAGTTGCTCCCTTGTGTCAGCAATGATCTATTTCCGTCTCAAAGATCTACGATTCCTTCGGATATGGATGGCAAGTATGACGTAGACCACATCGTTGCAGAGGATGTCTATAGATCTGGACGTTGGGGTAGGCCCCAACGACAATATAAGGTCAGATTTGCTTATCAGGAACCTTTCGGAAGATCGCTGGTTTACTAGAGATGAGCTAGTGGAAACTGCACCGCACATAGTGTCTTACTATGAGAGAACTAGAAGAGGAATCAACATAGTTGACAGATAAAGGTTTTAACAGTTTAACTTTCTCAGAGGACCTCGAAATCAGGCTGGAGAGAGTGAAAGGCATTTCACCCTCCAGACCCCAAATTCGGGTTTCAGGGTCAAAAGTCCCCAAGTCAAAGAGGCCAGGTCGGCCAGATTCAGAAGGGTTAAGCCGGGTACTCCAGAGGTCAATCGGTACCCAGTCAAAAGTCACATCCCAGAGGCAAAAGTCACGTCCCACAGTCAAAAAGGTCACATCCCACAGGCAAGGGTCACGACCCACAGTCGAAGGTCACGTCTCACAGACCAAAAAGCAGCAGCACACCAAGGAGGACTCAGGGAGGTACCGGGCCTCAACATTCCGGAAGCAAACAGGCCGCGGGCAGCCGGTACCGGGTCCAAGTCAAGCCAAGAGAAGCAGAGGCTGGGACGAGCCAAGCCAAGAGAGAGAGAGAGAGAGAGAGAGAGAGAGAGAGAGAGAGAGAGAGAGAGAGAGAGAGAGAGAGAGAGAGAGAACCTGGATGAGGATGCTGGTAATGGGTTGCTCAACTCTGTGCTGATGAGCGCTGGTGGACGGAACTCTGAAGCTGCTTAATATGGTAATTCGTTGGAATTTCTAAGCTGCGCTAATCTGGGCTTGCATCTCCGGTTTCGAGTGTGGATTTCGTGTGATCTCTCATTGTGTGTGTGCGTGAGGTGACGAACAATGTGGTTCAATGCAGTCTGCAGCACCATGAAGCATCGAGTTTGGGATAGAGTATGACAAAATGCTGCAGCAGACAGTTGAGCAGGTTGAAAAATCTCAGAATGCCATGATAGCATCTGAGAACAACGCAGAAGAGAGTCAAAGTTTCAGGTAGGGGAACAGGTCTGGGTTAAGTCTTTTGAGTTTACTCAAGAGGTAGTTATTTTATCACAAAATAATGCCACAGTATTTTGGGCCATGGCAAGTTGACAACGTCGTGGATTCAGACCCAGATGCCCCTTCATACGCCATACACATTCCACCACACCTACATACTTACCTAGTCTTTCACACATCCAAACTACTTCCTTTCGCATAAACTGATGAGTTTCCTTCAGGAAGTTTGATGTTGCCCCCAACCATAGTTGGGTACGTCAACATCGATGAGATTGTGAAGCACAAATTAATGCTTGTACCTAAGCATGTTGATAGTGGAAGACCGCCAAAACCACAAATGCAGTTCCGGGTGAGATTCAGGCATCATACGGTTCCTAAAGAAGATTGGTGGTTCAGGAGAGAGGAGCTGATGAAGACAGCCCCTCAAGTCGTATCTCGCTGTGAGAAGAGGTGATAAAAGGGAAGCAGCAAGTGGATTGAAGGCTTACTCAGAGGAATTTCTGAGCAGAGGAGGAGGGAGTGCAAAGCATGAGGCCCTTGACCTAGGTTGAAATGGGCCTGCACCCGCTGGAAACTCTGTGCCGGCCCAATGTGAAGGCGCCCCCCCTGGAAACTCTATGAGGCCTTTTCTGCCGATGTGAGGAAAAAGGGGCCTTGTGGGTTGTTTACTGCTCGCAGCATCTTCAACCAACCGGTAGCCCGATCGGCTGAAGATGCTGAGATCCAGGGCACTTACAGTTGAGCCCCAGGCACATTCTGGAAGGGCCCTGGGCGCAGCTATTGGGACAGAGGCCAAGCATCTGAGCCTGCCCGCCCAGCCAGCCAGCACATAAGGAAGTGAGACTCACTCACTTCTCACATTCTGGCTGGCTGGACGGCAGCAGCCCTTGCTGGAGCGCTGGCTTGCTGGACGAGAGTCAGGTAGAGTGGAGAAGGGCGCCGGCAGGAGGAGAAGCTGTATGGACGCAGCAAGAGCGCAGCAGCCATAGCCGGGCTGCTGACGCCATAGCCTGGGAGGTTGAGAGGAGGTCCTTGGGCGAGGGACTGTGAGAGAAAAATGAGGGAAAGGTGGGCAATGAGCAGGCTGCTTCAGTGCAAGTCTTCATTTGTCATCGGCTGCTGTACTTCATGAAGACGTGTTGCTGTCATTAGAGTCTAGGACGATAGGTGCTGTCTGATTGTAGTCTGGGCGCTGAGCGCCATATAGGATGAGTGACATTGTTGACATTGGTGTTGCAGGCGAGAAGAGGGCTTTCATTATCAATTGACTTCGGTGTTCTGCTCTTACTTATTTGGTGTTATTTCGTTGTGCAATCTGTCTTCAGTTTGCGCACAAGTTATCTGGATTTCTATGGAATGCTGCAATTTGGTTTCTGTAGTTCGCATTGCTCATTTGCCTTGCATTCTTCCCCGGTCTTCCATTTCTAACGAGTTCTTGGTGGCTGTGATTGGCTTCCACAAAAGGAAATCAACTCGATTAAGCGGATAATTGAGAAACGGAGAGTGGAAAGAGCTGTGCAAGGAGTTGCTGATGGCGAGGACCCAACGGCCATTCCCACCGATCCAGAAGAAGAAGCTCTGAAAATGAAGCTAGGAGTAGAAAAGGTTTGTCCAGTCAATTCCAGTGTAACCCAATGCTGACGTTTCAAAGCCACTCCAAGCTACATTTTTCCAAAGCCAGAGATCATTAGCTAGTGACTTTCTATCTTCTGAAACATTGCATCTGTGTGTATCAATGATGAGAGCGTTCGGTAGTAGGTTTCCCTACTGAGGGGCCAAGTCGTTGTCTTTCCCTATTCGTCTTTCTTTGGGTGGGGCAGGGGGCGTGGGGGTGGGGCGGTGTGGGGGTGGGGGGGGGAGTGTGCGCGGAGGGGGTTTCAAGTATGCAGGTATGTATATCTATCTGACGTTGTTGTACCCATCAGTATTTGAATTCATGACCTGTCCGTACAGCCTCATATGTGCACCATTCAACCACAGGACTGGGGTCTTCCGTACAGTTTTTTCTTTATGTGGTATTCTGAAACGCTTGTTCAAAATTCTAATGTGGTCCTAGACTCCTACAGCCTATTGCAAACCAGGCCTGGCACCTTTCAGACATTCCAGCATGGCTACACTAGGGTTTACTTTACCAGTATGGCTACACTAGGGTTTACTTGACCAGTATGGCTACACTGGGCTTTACCCCTGACCTGGCACTTTTTCAGACAGTCCAGCATGGCTACACTAGGGTTTAGTTTACCCCTGTTGGGGCCGTTCCACTATTTCTCAAGTGTCTTTAGGTTTCTTTTTTCACACTTTGAAGTTTTAACTCTCGGTGCTGTTGATGGAAGGTCTACATTTTCACTCATAGGGAACATCTGTGACTCTTATCTAGAGGTTCCATCTTGGCACCGACCCATGAGAAATTTGATTTATGTCACCTGCCTTCCACTCGCACCGGCGCTGCTTGCTCCCTTTCCCTGTTGTTGTAAGGCCTTGAGTGCTCTAGGGATGAGTACCATTTTCCCCCAAACTCGGTGCACCCTAATCGTGAATGTATACAAACTATAAGTCTGGTCTGATACCGTCATATTGAGTGTGCTTTGCGTTCAGGGGAATACGACAGCCCTTTTGCACGCGCCATCATTGCGAATCAACTCAAATCTGCCTTGCTGGGTTTTATGAACCGATGACCAAGCTTAAGGAGGCAGAGACTAAAAGCAAACAATGTTGACATCTCACCTGGAAGCATGCTGGAGGGCCTTCCTCAATTTCACAAGATTGATTATTAAAAGAAGGAAAAACAATCACCTACATGAATTTATTTGAGGTCTCATACGTTTGCTGATGCAGGGGCGCAAACACAGGCCCACGATAGGGAGCAAGCTCCGCAGTTTTTTCTCAAACTGGAAAGGTGTGAGAATCTTTTTGATGTTGTTAATCTCGTTGACATGACACGTGTCTTCACTCGTCATCATCATGATAATTAGGGGTTTGTCTGTGGATTGCCTTTTCTTTGCGCCATACATATAAAGAATGGCATATGCATGATGCCTCTACCCTAAATAATCATCTTTGCCATTTTATTTTTCTTCTTGTCCTTCGTTCCTTACTTTCTGTCTTCAATATGCTCTGATTCTCACACTCCGGGCACCCCTCTCTCCGGCGTCGCAACATCCCATATCCCTCTCATGTCTGGTCTCTCCATGATGTTTCCCTGTTTCCTCATCTCATTCCCCCCCTAGTTCCAGACGTCCGTCCGCTCTGGTTCCTTTCTTCTCCACCCGCTTGCCCCACCCAAAATCCATCCTGGTAAATTTCTGGCCAGAACTTGATCATCAGATATCATACTCCATGCAGTGGACACTGCCAGACACTGTTCGTATTGGGTCACTATTAGCTTGCAGGTTTCTGTTTGCAGCCCTCCCTTCTGAAATTCAAAACTGACGTGCATTTCGCCAAACACACTTTGAATTCAACGCGCCCTGCACTTTGCACCAGACTCAAACCTGCTGACAGCAGGTTTGCTTCCGAAAACAAAAGACTGGTGTTCAACTGCTTGAACACCTTATGCTGTACTCTTGGTTGCAACCCTAAGCTGCAAGTCGGCCATTGAGTTTGTTGCTGGTACTCTTCATGGGGTGCTCATTTGTCGTAGCAATCAATTCCAATGTTGGAGTGGAGTGTGTGTGTTCCTCAGTCTCTCTCCCTTGCTCTCCTTCTCTCTCAATCTCTCCCCAACTCTCTCTCTCTCTCTCTCTCTCTCTCTCTCTCTCTCTCTCTCTCTCTCTCTCTCTCTCTCT